TCTGGTTATATGGACAACAAGTCATTGCAAGTGCATTTAGACATCGTATTTGTTTACTTTCATGTTCATAAAGAGGTTCACTATTGCGATTCTCATGTCCAAGGAGAGTCCACACCTTGACTGTACCAGTTGTTGTTAAGGCCAGCACAACATCGTCTTTAAATGAATGGAAGCGCCTGTTGCGCGTTAACTACATCTAAGTAGATGTTATAGCATTCCAAGCAAAAGAATTTTTAATAAGGGTCAACAAAATAACACCTTATAAATATTATAAATGCATAAAGAATATTCATTTTTTTACAAAGTTATAGAGTTTTATTTTAATATTAATAAATAAATACACTAAATTAAAAAAAAGAAAATAATCAAAATAATTAACAATTACAATAAATAATAATAAAGATTATATACTATAGTGCTATAATTTCATGCAAAATAAAATGTTTTGTGTTAAAATAAACAGTTACATCTACAAAAAGATTTTAATTCATGTTTATTTGAATCATGCATAAAGCATCTTGTAAATCTAAATAATTGCTAATTACCAAATACAATATAAAAAAAAATCTATTGCATATTCATAATGTTCTTCAAAATGCATTTTATATTAATTAAGGGAGTATTCTTGTAATCCTACTTAAAAAAATCAATTTTCTCTTTTTTTACATTATCTCAAATATGCTTTCGAACATGTCTATGTGAAAGAATTTATTTGAATTCATAAAATTAGCAAAATTATAGATGTTTAGAGTGCAGCAAACAGACATTGTACGAGTAACAAAAACTTCAAACGTGAGTTTTTCCCAAACTATATTTTTTGCACTGGAATATTTCACGTGTTAATTAACCGATTGACTTGAAATTTCGCGATCTTCACCGAATGTATCTTTATCGCATGAATCACGGATTTCAAAATCTGATATTTTTTTCTACTTCATTTATCATCTAAAGGATGAAAAGCACAAGGAAAATCGATATTTAAATTTCAAAATGGTGCCATTTTTTTAATTTTCAAAATTTCGCTGTTTTGATGGGTCATGCTATAGTCGTATTTATGCTAATTAAGATGCTTTTTAGTTTTTTCGTTTCAAATAATCAGATGGTCCGGAATTATGTCAGCCATTCAAATCCAGTTTTAAAAGTATGATTTACCTAAGGCTACATAATTTCCACAATTTTCAATAATTTCATTAAAAAAAAATTGGAAATATTCTTTAAGTATAAATAAATCTGAGTGCAAAAACTTCATATCAAAACATATCATGATTTCCTTAGACAAAAATCTCAAACAAATCGATTTTTATTGGCCGGATTACAAGAATATCCCCTTAATAGACTTTTATATTAATTTTCTAAAATACCATATATTAAAGAGTATGTGTTTAAGAAAACGAAAAAAGAAAATTAATCAATTCTTAATCAATTATAATACATACTTTTATACATTTTTATTTAATCTTTTTTAATTTTAAAAATGAATTTAAAAAATTTTTTTCTATAAAACGAACATTTACCATTAAAAATATTATATATTATATGGTAAAACAATAGATACACACAACAAATTTTTATGCATCTCTATTTAAAACATAATACAAAAAATAAGAAAAAATATTTTGTTTTTCATATCAATTAAATCTAGATGCATTGCATGATACCAGTATAATAAAAAAACCAATATTATTGAATCTTTATACAAGTGCATTCATTGCATTCAAACACTAAACATGTTTTAGAAATTATCAGTTCAAATATATACTTACGATAAATATAGTGTATCATAAATGACATGAAAGTGACAAATGTAGGTAAATGCAATGTATGCTATAATGATTTTATGGAAGGAAATGCGAATGAAGGAGAGTAGCATAAAAGAAAGGTTTATTTAAGAAATAATGCCTGCTCATTTAATTTTGTTTGAAAAAGTGAAACTTAAAAATCAGAGAAAGAGAAGAGATGAAAGAAATGAAAGAACCTTGGCTACCAATGCAACAGCACTGATATGTTTCCACATGTGATTCATTAACATGCTGTAACAATGTAACTTTCATTAAAATTTTAATAATTAAATTTTTGATACTAAGTAATGCAGTTTAATATACATTAAATATTATCATCAATTTAAATCTTAAATAGAAACAGAATTTTATTCACAAAAGAAAACAGAAAAAAATAATTAGATGCAAAATTTCCAATATACCCAAGATATAAAGCTTTCTTTTAAGTTAATTGCTTGAAAAGTTAGCAGAAAATTTTTTGTTCTAGAAAGATAAAAAAGATGTGTATGAATTTTAATTGTTAATTACTTTATCAAAAAAGATATGAAATTTATTAAATATTCAAATTAAATAAATAATAGTGCATTAAAGATATATATTTCGATTAACAATTTTTTTTAATGTTTGAAAGAAAGGCCTGTTGAGCAGAAAGATAATACATAAAAAATTAATAGGTCAGGAAATACCAAACATATTGTGCAAATAAATACTCTGTATAAATCTAAATGAAACAATTCAATCATATAATAAAAAAGTATTTCTTCAGAATAATAAACTTTTGCACAATACAGATTGGTGAAGTCAAAGAAAGATAAGGTAGCAATGGTATAAAGCATAGGTGTGATGGAGTGTAACTAACTTGTATGCACGTAGAACCGACCTTTCCGTTTGGCCGGCCGCAAAACGTGCAAGGCACTGATCCAATCAGGATTAACACGTGAACTTAGAGTAAATAAAACTTCCAAACTAAAGGGATCCATCACTAAAACCTCAGGATAGTATCTAAAATTGAAAAATAAACATTTTTTAATCTTTTTAAAATAAATGTATATAATATTTCAAGATATAACATATTATAACATACCCTGAACAAAACAGTCTAACATCTTCTCCACCAGCGGAGACATAAGGCAACATCTGTGTATGAACACTGCTGAGCTTTACAGCTTCCCTGCATTTCCCATCAACTAAATCCCATGTGCACATTTCACCACTTTCACTGCTACTGACAATATAATTTTGTTCCATAACAACACTTGCTCGACTCAGGCACATTATTGGGGCGGTATGACCAACAAGTAAACATCTTGGAGTCATCTTAATGTGTAATTGATAACATAATTATTTAATGCTAATATTAATATTTTCTAAACTTAATTGAAAGGTAAACATATATTTACTTTTAGTGTTTCAGGGTCTACTTGCCACAAACATATCTGACCATCATAACACCCTGTTACTAACGTTTTTTGATCTCGTGATAAATAGATACAGGAAATGCAATGAGTTGGAGCTATACGACCCCATAAAACTATGGGTACTACTAAGCTTGTACCCGCTGTCATTTTTAAAATTCAACCTATAATGTATTATAAATTTGATTAAGTATAAATTAATATCAAAGTATCTAATTAACTTATATCATTAACAAACATAGTCATAACATTAAATATAAGACTGAAATATAATAATTAATATGAAATTAAATAAAATCTTTATATTACTTATTTAAATTTTATAAACACAATTATAAGAAACAATAGTATTTGTTAAAATTATATACAAATTTATACATAATATTACCATGTATAATATTTTAATAAAAATTAATGAATATTATGTTCAAATACTATAAATATAAAATGTATATATTATAAACATAGATAAAAATATTTCATTTATGAGCTGTATATGCAAGTTATACAAAATTTGACATATTTATGTCTAATAATTATTTTAATTATACAGTTCGTTTTTAAATACAAATATTTATTTTCTTGTTAAGATTAAATGTGTTTTCTTATTAAATATAATTATTGTAATATTTATAAAAATTATAAAAGAAAAATATTTTATAAATCAATTCTTAAACAAATTATTGTAATAAAAACATATAATATATCAATTTGTTGCTTAATTTAAAAAAAAGCTTTTGTTTTGAATATAAAAACACAATAAATAGGCTATACACATGTTTTATTTGTCAAAATATAAAGATGTAGATTGTTAAATCTATATGTTTCTTTGACAACATATAAGATAATAGTAATTCAAAGGAACAGTTTAAAATAAGTTGTTAACTGACAATGTAATTAAGTAATCCCGTAATAAATAAATGACAAAACCTTGTTATAAAGTCGTCGAAGAATAATCAGTGTTACATTGATATTAATAACAGATATTTTCGTTGATAGCAAATGAATTCTTCATCCGTAGTAAAAAGGGCTTGACAAGCATCTACCAAAAAGGCCATCGCAACAACGCGATACACTAAGGTCTCGAAGAAAACCTATTAAAAGCAATTAGAGGCGTCTGCTATATCACGTTCATGAAATGTCACTGACAATCTGTAGGGTTTTGATTTTATCGCGTTTATATGTAATTATTTCGACAAATCAACGCGTGTTCTATGTAAAAAAACATAGAAATATTTACCGAAAATACTGAATATTAATGACAACGGCTCCAAATGTCGGAACTGGCGAAATATGCCAAAAGTCATACAACCCTTACTGCACTCTCACGACCGTGGCCATCTTGATGTTGAGGATAGTTAAACGAATAACGCACACAATCAGCTGTTCCACGTCAAAAGATCCCTAGTAAAATTCTCTTTAATTTGATATAGAGTGAAACAACAGTTGCAATATATTTGATTTTGTTCAAATTTTTACATTATAAATAGCAACAAATTTTGAATGAAAAAACTCATTTGATTTATTAGATTAATACTATTACTAGTAAAATAAGCACGTGGATATCAGTCTTATTTCATTAATATAAGATTTAAGAAAAATTTGAGAAAAAGTATATCAATTTTGAAACAATATATTTGTTATTAATTTAATAACAAATCTGACTTCATTTTTTAAATATTTTTATTCATTTTATTTATAGAATTCATTTAAAAACATACAAATATTTATACATCTATATAATTTTTAAATATAGACCATAAGTCTTGAAATAAACGTGACAAAAGTCTCGAAGTAAAGCTAACTTCATGCATACATACTTTTTATGTAAAAATATATAACCTATAAAATTCCCAATTTTTAATAAATGCAGCCATTTATATAACCATTCGGTAAGATATTTTAAATTTATTAATATGAATATATGTTAAGTTTTGTACAATATAAAATCTGGGAAAAAAACTAAGCAACAAATATGAATACATGGAATATAAATATTTGTGTTGTATCGACATCAATTCAATGATCTTTTTGTAGCATATGTTTCACATAATTCTATCTTACGCGAAGTTACACTACAATTTCTAATATTATAAACAAGAAATATTTATTATTGCTACAATGAAGTGTCACTATGAAGTATTAGAAATACCACGAAATGCATCTGATGATAATATAAAAAAGGCTTACAAAAGACTTGCTTTAAAATGGCATCCTGATAAAAATTTAAATAATCCAGAAGAAGCAAAAGAACAATTTCAACTTATTCAACAAGCTTGGGAAGTGTTAAGTGATCCTAATGAACGTACTTGGTATGATAATCATCGTGAAGCTATTTTAAAAGGTGGTATTGGTAAAGATTATAAGGATGATTCTATTGATCTTTTCCAATATTTTTCACCTACTTGCTTCAAAGGATATGGAGATGATGAAAAAGGATTTTATACAGTTTATCGTAATGTATTTGAAAAATTAACAGCTGAAGATATGGAATTCACAAAAGAAGAGGATTTTGAGGAAGTTCCAGGGTTTGGAGATTCACAAAGTTCATATGAAGAAGTTGTTCATAATTTCTATGCTTATTGGCAGAGCTATAATACAAAAAGATCATTTACATGGTTAGATGCTTATGATGTAAGAGATGCTCCCAATAGACGAATCGCACGTCTCATTGGGAAAGAAAATAAGAAAATTCGAGATAAAGCTAAAAAAGAAAGAAATGAACAAATAAGAAATTTAATTGCTTTTATACGTAAACGTGATAAACGAGTACAAGTTCATATAGCTAAACTTATTGAACATGCAAAAGAAAACTTGAAAAAAACACAAGAACAGAAAAAGCAACAATTATTAGAAAGACAAAAACGATTAAAGGAACATAAAATATCAGAATGGTTAAAATTTTCAAACATAGAAGCCGAACTCAAAAATATTGAAGCTAACCTTGATCAAGAATTTGGTGAAGATTTATCTTCTGAGGAAGATATAAATGATGAAAATGCAATATATAATAGTTCTCAATATTGTGTAGCTTGTAATAAAAAATTTAAAACATATAAAGCATATATAAATCATGAAAACTCTAAAAGGCACAAAATTAATATTGCAGTAATGAAAGCATCTATGATGAGAGAAGATCAAGTCATTTATAATGCATCCATGATTGGAAATTTTGAAGGAAGTGATATTAATACTGACTCAATTTCAGAATGTGATAAAAAATTAGCAACAGATTCACAAATGCCTGACTTTTTATTAAATCCTATTCAAAATAATAAGCAAAATAAAAGTGATACTGCAGAAGAAACTTCAGAAGGAGAATTAATATCAGATGATGAATTTGATGATTCCACAAAATCAAAAGATGTAAAATATTATTCAGAAGAATCTAAATTTGCTATGAATTCTCAGATGACTGATGCTCTTTATATACCACCTGAAGTAACCAAGAATAACAATGAATATTTAACTTCTGAAGATGAGCTTATTTCTGATCAGGAAGATGAAGAAATTATACAACTTAAGAAACAAAAGAAGAAAAAACAAAAAAAGGGTGTTCAAAATCCAATAGCGGATCAAGTTACCGATGAAGATACAAATATTAATGAAGATATATTATTATCGAAAAAACAACGCAAAAAGCAGCAACAAAGAAAGGCAATGTTACATAAAATTGCTGAGAATAATCAACAATCATCTAATGACAAAACAGAGGAATGCAAAGAAGAAATAATCAAAGAAACAAATAAAACTGAATTATTATTTGATAATTTAGAAATAAATAGAACAATTAATGAAAAATCTAAAAGTAAGAAAACTAAAAGTGTAAAAAAAAAAGAAAGAGAATTAGAAAAAGAAAGTGGAAGTAAAAGCAGTAAGGGATCACAAAGTATTGAAGCTTCAAATCTAGCACATCGTTGTATTACATGTAAAGTTGACTTTCCTAGTAAAAATAAATTATTTGAACATTTGAAGAAAACAGGACATTCTGTATATATACCAAATTCAATCAAAAATAAAAAAAATTAAGAAAAGTGTGGTAAAGGCAAAGGAAACAATGATAAACAAAAGCCATTAATTGTATTAGATAATTTATGTATTACTTGATTCAATTTAGTATAATTAGTTTGGAAAATGTGAAAGATATTCAATTAATAAATCTTATAAACCATTCTGTATTATTGTACTTTTTATGTACATTGTACATATTTATATCTTATAGCCACCAAATAAATTTAATAGAAGCTCATGTTGAAAAAATTGATTTTTTATTTCAAATAAATATTTTTTTCAGTACATTAAGTATAATATAATATGAAACTTAATACAAATATAATAGTAAAATATAATAAATGTAAATTAATTTATATGAATTTTCAACTTAATTTTTACTTGTTATGTTTTTTATTATAATTTTAGATAATACTACATGTCATTCATTGTAGTAACCTGCAAAATTCAAACTTAAATTTTTCAGATCAGAAATTAATACCAATGCAAATTGAATATGAATGCAGTTATTCACTGTGCAGCTCATAGGTAAAATTTGTGTTTTTTTTTAAATATAAGTCGGTGCAAAAGAACAAGTACAACATACATGTACAAAGTACATGTATTTAAAATTTTCAAGTAATGTCCTAAATTTTAATTTAAGGTCCAGAACAATTATGGCTTCCAAAAAAGTTATTTATCCTGCAGCTGACCGTAACAAGGGTCCAATATTATCAGTTCTTCAAAAATACATTCAACAAGGTCCAGATCAAATTTTTTTGGAGATATCATCTGGCACTGGACAACATGTAGCCCATTTTGCTCCACATTTTCCTCAAATTTCATTTTATCCATCAGAATATGAGTCAAAACTATTAGAAAGTATTGCAGCCTATTCGAATGGATTTGTAAATATAAAACCACCTTTACATATAGATATTACAACAGATTTCCATACCTGGGGCAATGACATTTTTAAAGAAAATAATATTGATTATATGTATAATGCAAATATGATACATATTTCACCTTATAAATGTGCTATTGGCTTATTTAATAATGCAGGAAAATTATTAAAGTATAATGGTATTTTATTTACATATGGACCTTATGCTGTAGATGGTAAAATAACACCACAGAGTAATGTTGATTTTAATAAATCTTTAATGCTTCAAGACTCCAGTTGGGGTCTCAGAGATATTAATGATGTAAAGGAATTAGCAGAAAAGAATGGTATTAAGTTAATAAATATTATTGATATGCCAGCTAACAATAAGACTATCATATGGAAAAAATGTTAAATACATAGTAATAATGAATTACATTATATATTAAAATTATAATATAATTATGAAATGTTAACCAAATACTTGAATTTAGTAAATACGAATATATTTAAATTCCACATTTCCTTTAAAATACAAAATGTACATTAACATTAAAAAATCTGCATTTGATAACTAATATAAATTTCATACTTAAATGTGTACTCTTAAAATACTACTTTAGTAATTAGTATATTCTTATTTTATTTTATTCATTTCTCATGTATTCAATCTATATACATACTTTTATCCAAATTGATTTTTATATCATGTAATATTAATTGTAATCAAAAAAAGTTTATATTCCCTAATTCTTCTGGTAAATAATTTAATCCTGATTCTTCTTTATGTTTCATATTATAACCTTTACTATATCCTGAAATGAAATTTATATAAGAAAATATAAGAAATATATTTTATAATTATAAATATGTATAGCATATTTTATAAATATTATATAAACATATTTTAGATAATCACTAATGGTATATAAGATTACCTAGATTTTTCATCAGTTTTGTTGGAGCATTTCTTAAATGTAAAGGTACTCCTGGCTGAGGTCCTTTGTGTTCAGCAACTATTCTTTGAGCAGCTCTAAGTGCATCTTCCATTAATCTAGACTTTGGTGCTCTTGCCAAGTATGTTGTACACTGTGCTAAAAGAACATCACATTCTGGCATTCCTATCATCTTACAACCATGCATTGTATGTACAGCAATGCCTAAAAGATATTTTCCAGCATACACTATTATAATATACCATTAGAATTTGAAAAGAATATGTAATTAATTTTATGAATGTTAATAGTACCAAGAGCTTTTGGATCTGCTAAACCAATATCCTCACATGCCATTCTAATTAATCTTCGTGCAATATAAACTGGATCTTCACCACCTAATATCATTCTTGTTAACCAGTAAAGAGAAGCATTTTCATCGCTTGCTCTAACAGATTTATGTAAAGCTGAAATCATGTCATAATGTTGTTCACCTTTCTTATCGTATAACATATGAGTTTTCTTAAGGCTTTCTATAATGTCATCTGATGTTATAGTCACAGGACCATTTTGTAAAAATTCTTCATTGTTTTGAATTTTGCACTGAATTACCAATTCCAGACCACTTAATGCTATACGAGCATCACCATCACAAGTTCCTGCTAACCATTTTATACTTGATTCATCAATAATGAATTTTGGTATTTGATTTGCATTTTCTAATCTTTTACTTGAAACATGTACTATCCCTCCTAATGAAGACACAGCTCGATTCAGTATAGATATTATATTAGGTATGCTTAATTTTTCCAAAACAATAACTTTACAACGGCTCAAAAGTGCAGAATTTAAGTTGAAGGAAGGATTTTCTGTTGTTGCACCAATTAGTGTAATAATGCCAGATTCAACATGAGGTAAAAATACATCTTGTTGAGTTTTATTAAAACGATGTATTTCATCCATAAAAACTACTGTATGTCTATTAAACTTTAACTCATTAGAAGCAATAGTGATAACTTCTTTCACCTCATTTACACCAGCCATGGCTGCAGATAACTTTACATATCTCATTTTACCATTTGATTTATTTTTACATATGTAAGCTATAACATTTGCCAAAGATGTCTGAAATAAAATAAATTTATATGTATATGTATATTTATATAAATAAAACTTCAATGCCATATTAATTTTCATAAAATATTGAAATATATTTTATATAATGCTTATATGTAATTAAAAGGTATTGCAATATGCAAAAAAGTATTTGCAATACCTTTCCACAACCAGGTGGACCCCACAAAATTATATTTGGTATTTCAGACTTGTTTAATAATTGATAAAGAATAGTAGATGGTCCAAGAATATGCAATTGTCCAACATATCCTGAAAGTGTTGTAGGTCTCATACGTTCGGCAAGGGGTATATGATTATTTTCAAATAAACTTTTTGCTTCTTTATCTGCCTAAAAATTATTATTATAAGCAATATTATTATTTTTGTTTTATAAAGAGAAGAAAAATAATTACATTATCATAAAATGAAATATGTGAGACCTGAGAATCTGTATTTGTTACTGATAACTCCATTAAATTAGTTTTTTTGTTTATTAGTCCCAAATCACTTTTTCTTGCTTTTGCATTATTTAACTTTATGTATTTCCTTCCAGGACTTTCATCCTTGAAGGAAGATGAAGATTCTTTACTTGCTGATTCATTTAAAAATAAACATTTACTAACATGATTTTCTATCACTGTAGTAGAAAATTCTTCAGAACAAATAGGACAACAAATTTTATCGTTATTCATATTATAATCTATAAATGAAAACATTATCTTTAGTAATCATATCTACAATGGTTTATCTTAAAAATGAAAAAAAAAGAAAATAGAAAAAATGTTTGAAATTATGTATAATTTCCTAAGATTTTAAAAGAATTTTCTTACTTTATAAATAAAATAACGTATCATATAAGAATTTTACGTAATATATAAAAAAGACTGTCAAACAGACTTTTAGAGACGGTACCGTTATATTATGTTGTACCATATAACAGGAGTTTGATGATCGCTTTTTTTACTTTTAAATATCATATGTTTTTTAATGTTTTATCATAATATTTAATACTTTTAGTATTATAAGCTAGTGGTAAAGAAGTTTCTCGTAGACAAATTTTGATAAATAGGACAGTGTTGTGTCACACTATAATCCTCGATTGATGACGTGGGTCAATACTAGACATTAAATAGAGGTTCAACGACATCTTTTTTTACATTTTTTTAATAATAACAATTAAGCAAATAAAAGTATAACATACGTATTATAATTACAATTCAAATAGCAGATTTATGCAATGATAGTTCGTCGAAGGCGAAGGACATTAGATAACAAACAACTACAGGTACAAAGCGCCAAGTTTGATTATGAACATATTTCTACCAATTGTGCCGAAAATATACAGTCGGATGAGGTAAATAATTAATTTACACATAATTTTTAACTTTACATTAAAACCTCTTTAAACTTTTTTTTATTTTTTATTAGATGTTTTGTACAATTAATTCGAATTTATTCTTTATTATTGAGAAATTATATATGTCTTTTATATAATTAATTAACATAGTTTATAGTATGATTTATTTTGTTTTTCGATAGGAAAGTAGAAAAAATGATTCAAATACAATTAAAAAATTTAAGATGGAAAAAATACAAGTAAACAAAGCACTGAGAACTCGAATTAAAATTAGTCTCGAAATTGATGTAATTTCAGTAATTTTATTGATAACTGGGATTATTACACGATTTTATCGTTTAGAAGAGCCACAGAGTATAGTGTAAGTTATTTTTTATATTAATAAAAATATAAAATTAAAAGAATTTCATAATTGTTATTTGCTTTGTTATACATATTCAAATATAAAGGATTTCAATTTTTTTAAATCAAAAATTTATATACAAACTATGGAATTTTGTTAAAAAATCTTTAATCTATTAGTGTATATTTTGTAACTAAAACAGTATTATGTTATTTATTTATGTTAATTGTTTATTAAGTATTTATGTTATTTAAAACAGGTTTGATGAATTGCATTATGGAAAATATGTAGGACTTTATATGAAAAGAACGTTTTTTTTCGATTCACATCCTCCTTTGGGAAAACAACTTATTTCTGCAGTAGCCTACTTAGCTGGTTTTGATGGTATATTTAAATTTGACAGAATAGGAAGCCCTTACACAGATGTTGTCCCTTTGTTTGCATTACGATTAGTACCGGCATTATGCGGCAGTTTATTAATTCCAACAGCTTATCATTTGATGTTAGAGTTAGGTCTAAAACAATGGACTGCTGCTTTGGCAGGAATATTATTGTTATTAGGTAATTTATCGTATTTTATTTTTACTAACATATTCGCTGTTTCGCGAATATACAGATCTTCGTAGGAACGACTGTTTTGGCAATATAAATATAAGTATGAAGATTGACACATAAGATGTACAATGTATTATGGACACATACACTAGAGGTATTGAATAATGATTATTTATTTATATAAATATAGAATTTAATAAAATATAAAATTTTAATCTCTGAAATTTAATAGTTTGCAAAATATCAATAAAGAAAATATCAGTACTATACAAAGAATTCCGTCTATACAGATATTACTAATCAGTCATCTTTTGTTGATTAATGTTTAAACTGCTATTAGACTATTAAATTCTCAAAGGTAAAATTTGTCACCATATCACAAAAATAACAATATTACCTAAATGATTTAAACTAGGAGTCTATTTTAAATTCCAAGCTTTGAATAAACATTTGTATTTGATAAAGAAATATTTATAAATGTTTACAACTTTCTGATTTGTTACCATACAACATATACAAACTTAATTATAGGCAACACAGATTTGAGTCACGTTGTTTCCTGCAAAGGTTTGGACTGTCATGAATTCTTACTGTTTGCAGCAAATATGTTAATAAAATATTTAACTAATATATATTTATTGTTTTAACTATATATATATATATATATATATATTTATATTTATATTTTAGACAATGCTTTGTTAACTCAATCTAGATTTATTTTAATGGAAAGTATCTTAATGCAATTTTCATTATTTGGATTGATATGTATTATGAAATTTAGGAAAGTAATGCATCAACCAACAACTTTATCTTGGTGGATATGGTTAATTTTGGGCATTGCAAATTTAACATGCGCATTATGGTATAACTTAAAAAATATTATGTACATATTTCTGGTAACTAAGTTTAATATTCTAAATTTAATATTCATTTTTTCAGTATAAAATATGTTGGATTATATTCATTAATTCTTGCATTATTTTCAATTGGTTATGATTATTGGAATCTAATACCAAGAAAAACGTTATCTAACACAGTATTATACATTCATCTTATTATAAGATTCTTTGTAATACTAAGTGTTATTTGTATTGTTTACTTGACTGTGTTTTATGTACATTTATCAATACTTTCTAAAGCTGGACCACATGACTCAATAATGACAAGTGCTTTTCAAGCAAGTTTAGATGGTGGCCTAGCTAGTATTACAAAAGGCCAACCTCTAGAAGTTACACATGGGTCACAGATTACTTTGAGACATACATATGGAAGAGCTTGCTGGCTTCATAGTCATAATCATGTATATCCATTAAAATATGCAGATGGAAGAGGCAGTTCTCATCAACAGCAAGTTACATGTTACTCGTTTAAAGATGTTAATAATTGGTGGATTGTAAAAAGACCAGAGAGAAACGATTTAGTTGTTACGAAACCTAGTACACCAATAAAGCATGGTGATGTAATACAATTAGTGCATGGAATTACAAGTCGAGCATTGAATTCACATGATGTTGCTGCACCAATGTCACCTCAGAGTCAAGAAATATCTTGTTATATTGATTACAATGTATCTATGCCTGCTCAAAATCTTTGGAGAGTGGAGATTACTAATAAAGATAACACTGGTGATGTTTGGCATGCAATTCAAAGTCAGATACGATTAGTACATGTAAATACAGATTATGCATTAAAATTTAGTGGGAGACAGTTACTTGATTGGGGTTTCAACCAGCATGAAGTAGTAGCAGATAAATTGGTAGATCAAACAGACTCCATATGGAATGTTGAAGAACATCGATATACTAAAAGTGATGATCAGAAACAAAGAGAAAGAGAACTGATTAATGCTGAAATGATTCCATTACAAGCTACGACTTTGAGCTTTTGGGAAAAATTTCTAGAATTACAAATAAAAATGCTTTTCAGTGGCCAAGAAGGGCAAAACAGCCACATGTATTCCAGTGATCCTTTGGATTGGCCATTAATGTCTAGAGGAATTGCATATTGGGTTTCCAATGATAGTAATGTAAATGTTTATTGAAACACTATTTTTTTTTTTTAATAAATTATTTAAACTTATTAATAGTTGATATTTATTGATAATTATATAATATTATGTTCACTTTTACAATAGGCTCAAGTGCATCTTTTAGGGAATATAGCAATTTGGTATTCTGGAACGATATGTGTTATTATATATTCATCTCTCTTAGTATTTTATATATTAAGACGGAGACGAATGTGTTTTGACATTCTACATGAAGAATGGAACAGATTTTCTAATGTGGGAAGCATCTTATTAGTTGGATATTTGTTACATTTTTTGCCTTTTATATTTGTTGAAAGGACTTTATTTCTTCATCATTATTTACCAGCTTTTATATTTAAGTTATTACTTACAGCAGCAACAATAGAACACTTATATTACTTAATGGGGTATGTAGACATATAATCATATACACAGTGGATTGTGTAACTAAAAAATAAGTTATATTTTTCAGATCTATTTTCTACATTTTTGTATGCTTTTTAATATATTTATTTTTGTTCTTTTTATGACTTTCTTTCATTATTTTTTAGTAGAATCATAAATCAATTTTCCTTAATGTTTTCAAAATATTAGGATTAGGTAACTGAAGAGTCATATCATGGAATATTTTCTATTAATCTTTTCGAAGAAGATACATTGTTTTTTTTTATAAGAAATAGATAATTTGTTTCAGTTGCATAATTTATTATCTTTGAATTAATTACTGAGGTACTTGTAAAGATTAATTTAAACTTTTAATTTTCAGGATTTGGGGCAGGCACAATTTTTTGATGTACACATTAAAAATCGGTACTTTTATATGGATATCTTTTATTATTTATGTATTTAAGAAATTTATTGTACTTAGTTATGGTACTACTCATTTAAGTGCCAAGGAATTTTCAAAATTAAGATGGAAAGATACATGGGATTTTATTATACATAAAATATAATAGATAATCAAAAGTAACATTTTTTAAGTATACATTTATAAAATTGTTACTTATATCAAAAAGTTGTTTAATATATTATTTATATACATCACATATTGATATTTTATGATATATAAATTTTAATGTTATAAAAATATTGTTCTAATATTTAAGGAACATTATCTTTTTACTTTTTTATATTTAAAAGAATATCTGATTGACAACATAGACTGACTATATTGTATAAAATCTTTTTATTATATGTGAATAATGAGTGAATAAATACAAACACAAAATCTGCTATTTATGAATGTTATATACTTATGTTATGAAAGTTATATAAATAAATAAACAGTTATATATTATAAGCTAATTATAT